GGAGGCAGGACTGGGGTGGGTCAAGGGCTCCAGGAGGGCTGGGGACTGGCTAGTCTTGAGGAGGAGGGGTGTGGCTGGGCCTGAAGGGTTTGGGTCATTTCCCAGAGGGGTGGAACAGAGGCTCTAGTTAGTGCAGCTATTGGGTTGCTACCTTCTGCTTCTTTCAACTACAAATATTACTTATAAATACAAACTCTTGAGATCCTGAGACTCTGCTCCAGTCCAGTCCACACGGCTCAGAATTTCCTCTAAAACAGCCTGAACAACTGGTTTTCTAGCATCCGATTTATGATGTTGAATGATAAGGAACTTCTACTAACTACTGCATGTTCTAGGTAGCTCTAATTATTAGATTTTTCCCTATATCAATCCTAATCCGCCTTTTCACATGACAGCTTTCCCTATCCTTTTCCTCACCCAGCCAAATCCTACAATATTCAAGATGAGGTCCAACTAGGGCAAGGCAGAGGACAAGATGTGGCTTCCCTGTTCATCAATCTTCAACAAGACAGTCATAGGTTTACTTTAACCATCACCCATGAGAATTCACTTCTATGATCCAGAACTCTGAAATTCTTTTATCTCACCTTAATATCCTATCCTATGTCTCCCTGTGTCTTTACTCCTATCAAACTTAACTTCTAATCACTGTGCTGCTGAGCAGTGCTGGAAGAAGTCACATAACTGTGCTGCTCAGGAGAACTACATTGTTACATTATCTAATTTCAACTGGGCCTAACTGATTCCACTTACCATCCTTCTTTTTTGCTCTGGTCCAAATCTCTTTTCCTTAAGTCCTCCACCCCCAACCCCTGCATATGACCTAGTCTGGGAAACAAGAGTGTGAGATCCATCTTTTCCCCTTTTTCTACAACTCAAAAAAACCATTAACACTATCTTCCTGGTCACCCCAATAACTTGTACCTTTGACCCAGTCCTCTGCCATCTCCAGTGCTCCAATGTCCCCTTCACCCCTCATCAGCCTCCATCTCCTTCCCCTTCCCTAATCTTCAATTTCTCTCTATCTGGCTCATTCTTCACTACTGCCTAAAAAAATGCTCTTTATCCTAAATAAGCAAATCATTTATTTGGCTATGGCATTCCCTCAAGCTATCCTCTACCTTTCTTTTCATTAATAATATTCTTTAAAAAAAAAAGCTATCTACACTCATTTTTCCTAATGCTCCCTTCTCAACTCATTCCAAACTGGCTTCTGATTTTACCACTAGATTGAAAATGTTCTCTCCAAGATTACCAAAGATTTCTTAATTACTAAAACCAAGTGGCCCTTCTGCAGTCATCATCTTTGACCTCTCAACAGTGTTTGATGCTGCTGACCAACCCCTCCCTCAATATTTTCTCCTCCCTAGATCTTCCTGACTTTTCTCTACTGGTTCTCCACCTATGTAGCCATTCTTTTTCAGTCTCTTTGCTGAATCCAGGTTTGGTTCCCTAACCTTAGGTCTCCCCCATAGCTTTGTCCTTGGCCCTCTCTTTTTTCTCTGTATCTTTTCTTGGTGACTGCATCAGCTCCCACATGTTCAATTATCATTTCTAAGCAGATGATTCTAAGATCATTATATCCAGACCTAGTCTCTCTCCTGAGCTGAATTCAGCCCTAAATCACCAACCTTTTATTAGATATTTCTAATAAGATGCTCCATAAGAATCTCAACCTAAATATGTCTGAAATGGAACTTACCTCTCTGCCCAAACTCATTCTGACTTACCTATTTCTGTTCAGGATCAACCATCCTCTCAGCCATCTTAGTTCAAAAATTCTGGAGTCACTTTTGATACTTCACTGTCCCTTGCCTACCATAACCAATCAGTTTCCAAGGCTTTTGAGCTGTTACCTCCACAATATCTCTCACACCTATCTCCACTCCATTCACAAAACCACTACCCTCCTTTAGCCCCTCATTATCTCTTGCCTTGACTACTGCAAAAGACTCCTAATTGGCCTCTTCAATCCATAGCCTCCAAATTGTTGTTTTTAAAATGCAGGTTCTGACCCTGTCACTTCTCTGCTCAAGAAGCTTTAGTGACTGTTGCCTCTACTATATAATAACTCTTTTATTTGGCTTTTAAAACTCTTGTCAATGAAACTCTGACCTATCCAGACTGACTTCCCATTACTCTTCCTTGGACATGCTTAATTTTCAGGAAAAATGACTTGTTTGTTATTCTCCAAATTGGGCATTCCATCTCCAGCCTCTTAGACACAGGCTTGTCCCCCATGAGTGGGATGAACTCCCTCCTCACCCACGCCTTCTAGAATTCCTGGCTTCTTTTCAGACCCAGCTCGAGTGCTCCTTGGTAAAACCGGCCTTTGCTGATTCCCCTCCAGTCATTAGTGTCAGTGCCCTTCCCAATCACTTTATATTCACTTTGGACTGTCCTGTATACATGTTTTATCTCCTCTCTCCCCCAGTGGAATAGAAGGTCCTTGAGAGGAGGGACTATTTCATTTTTATCTTTGTATTGCCACTGCCTAGCACAGCATAAGTGCTGAATAAAATGTGTGGTGAATGAATGCCTCTGAAGGAGACCTGGGAAGCAGTTAACATTTTTGGCTACACTGTCACATTAACTCATATTCCACCTGCATAAAACCCCCAAATTTTTCCACAGGAATTGTTTAGCTGCATATTCACAATCTGGTACTTGTGCAATTGAAAATTTTAATCCAAAAATAAGACTAGATGCTTGAACACCCTATGAAATTTCATCATATTAGATCTGGCCTGACCATAGGTTCATAGGATGATTTTGGATCCTGATTCTGTTGTCCAGTTTTTTAGCTGTTGCTTCTAGTTTCATGTCATCTGCAAATAGGATAGATGTACCATCTAGCCCTCTACTCAAGTAAACAATGAAAACGTTGAGCAGTAAAAGTCAACAAAATGCCTGAATCGTTCCACTAGAGACCTCCCACCAAGCTAACACTGACCCACTACTCTTTGGGTTTAAATCTGCCTAATTTTCCTAGCCCAGAGGCTAGACAACTAGAGGGTAGAGCTCACAACTCTGTCTTACATAAGAAACTGTCAAAGACTATACTGAAATTCAGTTGTACTATATCTGCCACTATAGTAATCCTGGCAAAAAGGTTAATATAGAATCATAGACTTAAGACCTTAGAAATGAATATCTAGTCCAATGAGATCCTCACATGATCTCTTTGAATTCCCTAGCACTTTCACATTCTGCTTTTCAGAGTTCTGTGTATAGGGGCCTCATCTCCCCCACCCTCAGGGCAAGAATTGGGGTCTTCATCTTACTCAGCTGTACCAGGAACTCAGGCCCTGAAACCTTATCCCAATGTTTTCACACTTCGAATGTGTGTTTCCCCAGCCCAGTTGTGGATGTTCTGCCTCTCCTTTTTTCTGCAGAACAAAAAAATCCCACACAACATCACCAGTCCCCTCCAAATATATCTTCTTAGGAGAAGGCATAGATCACAGAAACTATACCCTTGGGGCACTGCCTAAACAAAGGGCAAGAAAGGAATGGGGGCTAGATAACAAAAATAACATTATTATGCCAAGGTCTCCTTGAGCTTTTGCTTGCCCTGCCCAGCCACACCTCCTCTCCTACTTTCCCCTCAAATCCTCTCACCCCTGGTTCAAGTCGTTTTCTGTGTTGTCCAGCCACAAACGAACAGCCACAGCATTGCCCTCCCGGCACTGGGTGAAAATGTCGTCCATGATGACAGCTCCTTAGGACCCTGGATAGTCAGGAGGATGGGGGAGAGGCACTAATCAATGTGGGCAATGGTTATCAGGGCTTACTCCCCACAAAAGAGAAGAGCTAGTCATCACCCTAACCTTCCACTTCATGTCCTAGTTGGTCATCTGCCTCCCCCCTCCCCAAGTACTGTATTTTGCCAGATCACCTTTCTTCCCTGGGTTGTTCAAGACCCCCCAGCAGCAATTGGATGGGGGAAGGTTTCAGAGGATGATGAATTCGTTATTCACACTGTTTGATAATTCTTTTAATTCTTCCTAGTTACATCTCCACACACACACACACACACACACACACACACACACACACACACATACATTACAGAAGGAACGCCTTTCCACATTCCCCCCACACCCCCTTTAGTCCATACTCTCGTCTCCAAACAAGTGTCCTGGGTGTGCAAAAAATAAGCCTCGAAGCAAGTCCCCCCGGGACTCTGCCAGCAGGGCACGACCCAGGACGTCTGTCGCGGGAGCACCAGCTGGGCTAAGGCTCGGAGGCTCCACGCGAGAAGTTTGTCCCCAGGAGACAAATTCTCTTCCGCCACAGCAACACTTACCAAACAGTTAACTAAGAGGCTGCTATCTCCGCGGGTGCTGGGAGTGCCCACAGAGGGAAAACCACTACTCCATCCGAGTTGAGCGGGGAAAGAAGCCCCCAGCAGCAACTACGGAGTCGGTCCTGGGCGTTGCCCCCTTCCCCTCTCCGGAGACACCCCCGCCCCAGACAAGGGTGGGGGGAGGCACTGGCGCAGACTGCCCCGAGCCCCGCCTGACAGCGGAGGGCTGCCCGAAGCCCAGAGAGGGTCGGGACCGGCCCGTGATCACACTGCGTCCTGGCGGCAGCCCTAGGACTGGACCCGGGACTCCACCCGCCCTCCCTCCAGGCCGGCGGAGTGCGGGCAGCTCCCTCCCACCCTCGGTTCTGTCTCCTACTCAACAAAAGGGGCTCGTAGCACCGCCCCCACCTCCCCACCCCCAGCAGCGAGTGCAGGCCCGCACGATTCCTTACCGGGGCTCCGGGGCCAGGTCCAGACGCTCCTGCCGCCCGCTCCGGCCGCAGCCTCCTCCGCCAACCCTGCCACACCCGCCTCGGCCTGGCCCCGCCCCTCGCCACGCCGCCGCTCTGGGCGTCCGCAGCCTCCTCTCGCTGGTCCCCGGAGGGCGGAGCGGCCGCTCTGCGAATGCACAGCCTCCTCTCGCTGGTCCCTTACTGGCGGCGGCGTCGGCGCACGTGGTCCCGGAGCCCCCATGTTCGAGGAGCCCGAGTGGGCCGAGGAGCCCCCGGCCCCGGCCGCCCGCGCGCCCCCGACCCCGCGTGCCAGGGTCGGGCCGGCGGCGCGCGCCAAGGTGAGTGTTTGCCCCGAGCGTTGGCGTGATTACACCTTCCTCCCCGTGTCGTGAGCCCCGTGCCCGTGTGGCCCGCCTTCTGTCTGCGTGACCCCCTCCCCTCTGTCGTGGGCCCCAGGGCTCTTGTGAGCTCCGTGGCTGTGTGTTCTCCTCCCTGTGTTTGCGTGACACCCCATCCTTCCTGTCGTGGGCTCCAGGGTTCTTGGGACCCGGTGTCCATGTGTCCTAACCCCCCCGCCCTCGTTGTGGGCCCCAGGATTCACGGGGCCCTGGTGTCCGTGGGTTCGACCCCCCCTGCGTGTTCCCGTGACCCGCTCCCTGTGTTCTGGGGACCCCAGTGTTCGGCCAGAGCAGGACAGAGCGGCTTTCCCCGGGGCCGCTCGCTCTAGCTCAGCGCGGTCCGACGTCTGCCGGGTCCTATCTCAGTGGCCGGGCGTGGGCGGGACGAGCCATAGGTCCTCTTCACATCTGGGTTTGGTCCTTCTTGTCCATCCCTCTACCATCTCTCTCTCTCTCTCTCTCTCTCTCTCTCTTTTGACATTTTTATTTAAAGTTTTGAGTTCCAAATTCTTTCCCTCCCTCCCCTCCCTCCTCTCTCAGACGGTAAGCAGTTATATACTATATAGATTTTATATGTATATTACATATATATCGTATATAGGTGTAATTATGTAAAACATTTCCCTATTAGTCATTTTGTACAAGAAGACTAGAATAAAAGAAAAACATGAAGTAAAATGAAGAATAGCATGCTTCACTCTGTATTCAGACAGTCTCAGTTCTTTTTTCGGAGGTGCATAGTATGCTTTGGGATCGTTTTGGATCATTATGTTGCTGAGAATAGTTAAGTGGATCACAGTTCTTCATCAAACAATATTGCTGTCACTGTGTACAATATTCTCCTGGTTCTATTCATTTCACTATACATCCATTCATGTAAATCTTTCCAGTTTTTTCTGAAATCGTCCTGCTTGTCATTTCTTGTAGCACAATAATATTTCATTACAGTCACATACCAAGCTTGTTTAGCCATTCCCCAATTTATGGGCATCCCTTCCATTTCCAATTCCTAGCCACCACAAAAAGAGCTGCTGTAAATATTTTTGTGCAAATAGGTCCTTTTTCCTTTATTTTTTAAAATCTCTGGGATGTAGACCTAGTAGTGGTATTGCTGGATCAAAGGGTATGCAAAGTTTTATAGCCCAGTGAGCATAGTTCCAAATTGCTCTCCAGAATGGATCAGTTCACAGCTCCACCAATAGTGCATTTGTGTCTCAGTTTTCCCACATCCCCTCCAACATCCAACATTTTCCTTTTTTGTCATATTAGCCAATCTGATCAGTATGAGGTGGTACCTCAGAGTTGTTTTAATTTGTATTTTTCTAATCAATAGTGATTTAGAGCATTTTTTTATTTGACTCTAGATAGCTTTGATTTCTTTATCTGAAAGCTTGCCTGTTCATATCCTTTGACCATTTATCAATTGAAGAAGGACATGTATTTTTATAAATTTGACTCATTTCTCTATATAGTTGACAAATGAGGCCTTTATCAGAGATACTTGTTTCAAAAACATTGTCCATTTCTAACTTAGATGGTAAGTATTGGTGGAGGTTCCCCAAGGTCGTAGTTAGGAAGGATTGCTGGGGATGTGGGTATGAAAAAATGACAACTTCTGCCTGAAATTGACATTTTGCTGGAAGGAGGAAGGGGGTGTTGTGAGTAGATGGGGAAGAAGAGGAAAAGGAGGAAGGCATCCTATGGAAAGTAACAATTGAGCTAAGTCTTAAGGTTAAGAGAAGGAAGATTCACAAGAGTCCAAGGAGAGGAAGGGGCACCTTCCTACAGCCCTGGGCTAATGTTAATTCACTGAAGCTGGAGACAAGACATATAAGACCAGTGAAAATGTAGTGTATGTGAAGTGAGCTGAAATAAGGCTGAGGTAGGGTGGAATCAGATTGTTCATAACTTTAGATGTCATGCTGAGGAGTTTGAATTTTATTCTAGAGGCTCTAGGGAACCCTTGAAGAGTTTTGATCAGGGAAATGAGAGACAGAAAATATTTTGTCAGCTGTGTGAAAAATTAATGAGAAAAAAAAAGACTGGAGGCATAGTTATGAGATTTTATAGTAGTCCAAGGGAACCATGATGAGGACCTGAATTAGGTGGTAATCCTGAGAGCAGAGGTGACAGTTCGAGTCCTGGGACATGATGAGATCATCTGGAGAAGAGGTAAGTGGACCCAGGAGCAAAGGTGACAGTTGCAGCCATGGGGCTGGTGAGTTCACCTAGGGAGAAAGAGTAGAAGAGACCAGCACTCATGATTAGGAGGATCTTGGGGATCTCAGAAGAATGAGTGATAAGACAGGTAAGAGGAGATTAATGAATACTGTACATGGTTAGAGGAGGTTTGAAGTTAAGAAAGACTAGAAAAGGCAACTATGAGCTTTCGGGGAGCAGTTTCAGGACTGCTGAAAGTACTGTGGGGGTTGCCAGAATAGGAAGGTTAAACTGATAAGGAAGTGGAAGCAGTGAATGTAGACTATTCTTTCTAGAAGTTTAACAGTGACAGTGAAGAAATATATAGGACCTTAGCTTGAGAAGGTGGTAATTTTAAGCTAAGGTTTTATTTTAAAGATGGGAGGAGACCTGAGCAAATATGCAGGCTAAGGGCAAGGCCCCTGTGAAGAGGGGGAGATTGAAGAGTCCCAAAGGCACAGGCAGAGGGGTGAGCTTTGGAGGGAAGAAATTGAAAGAGTTCATGATTTATGGATTCAATAATAGTAAAGTAGGAATCAAGGTCATGTACTGAGAGGGTGGGGATTAGAAGACTGAAAAGGTTTGGAACAGCCACTGTGGATGGTGTGACAAAATAACCAGTCAGGGAAAGAGACACTGGTTTGATGATGTCATTGGTATGGCGAACTCCCAAGGAAAGAAACTCCTGTGACTGATGCATATTGGTACCGTCTTTGCCGATAGTCTTACAGAGTTTCCTAGAGCATTGAGAGATTAGAACTTGCCCAGGGTCACACCACCAGTATGTGTCTTTTCTGACTTCAAGGCTTGCTCTCTGTTCAATATGCCTGCTGCTTCTCACAAATAAAAGTACTGCCATGCTCCTAGGAGGTGAGATAGCTCATTTGACATCTCAGGAATAGAAGTGCAGAAGGTAGGTTGTGGGGGTGACCCAGATTTGCAGGAACAGCAGAAAGACAAGGGGTTCAGAAATGGAAGGCTGTGGTGTGTAGAATGGACTTACACTCTGGAGTCTTGACTATGAAGGAAGGGAAATGAGGCCAGTATAAGTGAGGATGGTCCAGGAAAATAGGGAGAGATTGAGTGTCTGGAGATCATGTTAAAGTAGATGAAGATCTGATATGAGGACCCTGAACTCTAAGGCTGGCAAAATTGCATCAGGACCCAAGGAAAGTCATAAATTAGTGCTGGATGATCTATAGTGGGGAATGACAACTTGGAAAAATGGAGGAAGACTTCTTGAAGGAGGATGTAGGTGTCTGAACTTGGCTTTGGAAGATGATTAGGTTACCAGCAGGTAACTGTAGGTTCAGCGGGATAGTTGTGGGCAACAGGCATTTCAGGCTAAGTCTAGAGTATGAGCACAACCTGGGACATGTACAAAATGTGTGACTGGGTGAAATATACAGTAATCATAATTTATGTGTCTCTAGTGCTTTTCTTCCACAGCCTCAAGTATTTCTGTCCTCATTTTACAGATGAGGAAATAAACTTAAAAGGGAAGGCAACTTGGTGGAGGAGAATGAACAGTGGGTTTGAGGCCAAAGCACCTGGATTTGAATCTCAGTTTTGGAATTTCTTGCCTGTGTAAAACCTGGGCCAGGTGGCATCCCCTCAGAGGGCCTCAGTGTCTTCTTCTATAAAATAAAGAAGTTAGACTAAGGGCATTGGCTTTGAAGTCATAGGACATTGGTTCAAATCCTGTCTCTGTCCCTTATTATGTTTGTGACCTCAGGCAAGTCACTAAGTGCCTCTATTTCCCCATATTTATTTATTTTATTTTTTTCAGTTTAAGAGATTTTTTTGGTCATTTATTTTTTAGTTCTTTTTTTTAACAGGTGTTTTTAAAACTTTGGGTTACAAATTTTCTCCCTTCCTCCCTCCCAACTCACCCTCATTGAAAAGGCAAGCATCTCGATACAGGTTATAGATACATAGTCATGCAAAACACTTCCATAGTAGTCCTGTTGTGAAAAACTAAGTATATTTCCCTTCATCCTATCCTACCCCCCATTTATTCTATTCTCTCTTTTGACCCTGTCCCTCCTCAGAAGTGTTTGCTTTTGATTATCCCCTACCCCAATCTGCCCTCCCCTTTGTCAACTCCCTGCTCTCTTGTCCACTTCCCCCCTTATTTTCCTGTAGGGTAAGATAGATTTCCATACCCCATTGTGTATGTTATTCACTCCTTAAGCCAAATCCTATGAGAATAAGATTCACTCATTCCCTCTCACCTTCCCCCATTTCCCCTCTACTATAAAAGCCTTTTCTTGTCTGTTTCATGTGAGATAATTTACCCCATTCTACTTCTCCCTTTCTCCTTCTCCCAGTATAATCCTCTCTCACCCCTTAATTTTATTTTCCAGATATCACCCCTTCGGAAATCTTCAACTCACCCTGTGCCTTCTATCTATCTATTTATACATACATATAATTTTTTCCCTCCCCACTACCCTAATACTGACAAAGGACTCATGAGTTACAAGTATCATCTGTCCCTGAAGGAATGTAAACAGTTCAACCTTAGTAAGTCTCTTACGATTTCTCTTTCCTGTTTACCTCTTCCATGTTTCACTTGAGTCTTGTATTTGAAAGTCAAATTTTCTATTCAGCTCTGGTCTTTTCCTCAGAAATGCTTGAAAGTCCCCTATTTCATTGGATGACCATTTTTTACCCTGAAGGATTATACTCAGTTTTGCTTGGTAGGTGATTCTTGGTTATAGTCCTATCTCCCTTGCCCTCCAGAATATCATACTCCATGCCCTCTGGACCCTTAAAGTAGAAGCTGCTAAATCTTGTGTTATCCTGATTGTGTTTCCACAATACCTGAATTGTTTCTTTCTGGCTGCCTGCAATATTTTTTTCTTGAGCTGGGAATTCTGGAATTTATCTACAATATTCCTAAGAGTTTTCCTTTGGGGGTCTCTTTCAGGAGGAGATCAACAGATTCTTTCAATTTCTATTCTGCCCTCTGGTTCTAAAATATCAGGGCAGTTTTCCTTGATAATTTCTTGAAAGATGATGTCTAGGCTCTTTTTTTTGATCATGGCTTTCAGATAGTCCAATAATTTTTAAATTCTCCCTCCTGAATCTATTTTCCAGGTCAGTTGTTTTTCCAGTGAGGTATTTTACATTCTCTTCTATTTTTTTCATTCTTTTAGATTAGTGTTACAGTGCCTTGATTTCTCAAATTGTCACTAGCTTCCAATTTCTCCATTCTAATTTTCAAGGAAGTATTTTCTTCAGTAAGCTTTTGGATTTCCTTTTCCATTTGACCAATTTTGCTTTTTAGGGCATTCTTCTCATTGACTTTTTGGACCTCTTTTGCCATTTGGGTTAGGCTATTTTTTAAGGTGTTATTTTCTTCAGTATTTTTTTGGGTCTCCTTTAGCATCACTCTCAGTTTTTCCTCTACTTCTCAAAATCCTTTTTGAGCTCTTCTGTGGCCTGGGACCAATTCATATTTTTCTTGGAGGCTTTGGATGTAGGAACTTTGGCTTCGTTGTCTACTTCTGGTTGTATGTTTTGATCTTTGTCACCAAAGTAAGATAATATAGTCTGACTCTTTTTGCACTGCTTGCCAATTACTTGAGTTATAAATTCTTTGTTAAGTTAGGAGTCTGTTTCCAGTGTGGAGAATGTACTGTCCCAAGCATCAGGGGTTTTGAGCAGCTGTTTTCAGAGATACTTCTAGGGACCTATAAATTTTCAGCTCTTCCGAGGTGCTGTGATGAAGGGCGAGTTGTTTACTCCTTTCCTGGCCTATGCTCTGGTCTGTGAGTGACTTTTCTGTCTTGTAACTGTGAAGATTTCCTCTCCACAGCCACTACAGGCTCCCCCACACCAGCGTTCCTCCTTGCCCTAGGACCACTACCCAGAACTGTGACCCAGATCCAAGCATGGGCAAAGCAAAAAAATCCTGCACCAGCAGAGAGATCCCTGCAATCCCCCTCTGATCAGCCACTCGATTCCCCCTTGGTCTGTGGGCAGGAAGCTCAGGAGGCAGCTACCACCCTGGGGCCAAGCTCGGGGAATGGGACTGGAACCCCACCATGCCACCAAAAAAACAGACTTTTCCCACTGACCTTCTAAGTTGTCTTTGGTGTTGTGGGTTGAAAAGTCTGGAAACTACCACAGCTGCACGAGATTCAGTCCTCTGAAGCCTGCTCTAGATTAGCTGAGGCCTGTGAGCCCACGCTGAACTGCGCTCCTCTCCCTGCCCAGCACCATGTACCTTTTCTGATCAACCATCCAGGCTGTCTTTGACTGGAAATTTGTTTCACTCTGTCTTTTTGTTTGGTTCTGCTGCTTTAGAATTTGTTTAGAACCATTTTTTATAGGTATTTGGAGGGGCTTGTGGGAGAGCTCAAGCATGTCACTGCTTTTACTCCATCTTGGCTCCGCCCTGCCTCAGTTTATTTCCCCATCTTTAAAATCAGAGGACAGGACTAGATGAGTGAGGGCTCTTTCTTGGTGCAGAGCCCACTATGCTATGATTCCACCATCTCCACCAAGCCTTCTAGCTCTCGAGCCATAATTCTTTGCCTAAGTCAGGGAAGAGGAAGGAGTCATCCCTTTATGTCTCAGAACCACACTCAGATGTATGAGCAATGTCACAGGCTCCAGCCTTTCTTTTTTCTTTTTTCATTAAGAACTTAGCAAACAAACCATTTTAAAAGACGATGAAGAATGTATATGAAATTGTAAACTTACATATGGTTTTTTTAAATGTTTCATTGGGCTCGAGGCTCAGCCGTTGCTTAGAGAACCCTCCCTATGCACCGTTCCTCCTCTTGGCGAACGCTGTTTGAGCACTCCCGGCTCCTGTCTAGGCGCTTCCCCGGCTCTGCGCCTGCGAGGTTCCCCCTCACCCTTCATTTCTCAGGCACCAGAGAAGGACATACGTCCTTAGGAAGAATTGTCAGAATGTCTGCTCCTATTTTGGCAAAACCACAGCTGCGAGGCCTTTTGGCTAAGCGCTTGCGATTTCATATTATTACAGCATTTATTCTGTCCTTGGGATGTGCTACCATGTATAAGTTTGGAGTGGCTGAACCTGGGAAAAAGGCATATCAAAATGTCTATAGAAGGTATGATGCTGTGAAAGATTTTGAAGAGATGAATCAAGCTGGTGTCTTTCAGTATAGAAAACCATGATGAAATATACAGGTTTCAGAGGCTTGAGGTCCCTGGATACTTATTACTGACCTGTTTTTCTTGTACTCTAACATGAAATACATGCACTCCACTGGCTGTGGAGTAGTCAAACTTGATAATAAACAGTTGATGACCTACGTGTGGTAACTTTAAAAAAAAAAGTTTCATTGATTCCAAACCTGTCTCTCTAGACTACATTCCTATCATTTCCCCTCATACACTGTACATTCTGGCCAAACTGACCCACTTCCTATTACTTATGCCTAGCTTTCCACCTCCTACCAGTGAGCCTTTGCACAGGCTGCTTGTCCCTGTGCCTGGGATGTTTTTCCTCCTCACCTCCGTGTTTTAGAGGCTCAACTCAAATGCCAGCTCCTACCTAAAGCCACTTTCCCCTGCCCTCAGTTGTTAGTGCTTCCTCTTAAAAGATAAATTTGTGTTTGCTTTGTATATATTTACTTACCTTGTAAGTTCTGTTTCCATCCTATCCCCCTTCCCAGTAGGATTCAACCTCCTTGATGCCAGCAGTCATTTGTCTTTTGTCTTTGTGTTGCTACTAATGACCACAGGGCCCTGTACATAGTAGATATCTAATAAATACTTCTTGCCAAATTGAATCAACAAGTACATTTCTGGTTCCTGGGCTTCCTGCTTTTCTCATTGAGAGTAGGAATAGATGTAGGCACACAGAGCTGGGTTCAGGGGACAGAGACCCCTATTAGGGAAGCAGATTTCCTTCTGTCTCTTATCCTTCATCCTTCCCCCAGGGCCCCAGCCGTCAAAGTCTCCAAGCTACATTAAAGGCACTGCAGGCCGAGGCGCTGCCTTACCAACTCCCTAACCGAGAGGGCAATGACTCCAACTCGGATTCTGACCTTGGGGAGGAGAAGAGAAAAAAGAGGAAGAAGGCCCCCAAAGAGGCTCCACTTAAGGAAGAAAACTCAAAGCTACCAGCAGTCCAAGGAGTAAAAACTAAGAAAGAAGAGAGCAAAGGTATGGTGGATGCAGGGGGGATTTCCCGGTTAGTTCTATTTGTTCTTTCCTTTTCATTTCAAATAGTAATAATGGTACTGTAATGGATCGGGGATCTCATCAATATGTGTACTTCCTCCAGTGGTCCAGATTGTAACCCATCTATACATTCTTATCCTTTGTGATGCACATGTATGCTTCTCATCAATCTTTCATAGCGGATCCAACCAGTACACTGGAGGCCTTTCTCTAAAAAGTTCACCTTAATGGCATTAAGTGGGGTATGACTTCAAGGAGTAAGGGAGTTATCCTCTCTCTGTCTTCTCTCCTAGTCAGACTTCATCTGAGTATTATTTTCAAGTCTGGGCACCATAATTAAAAAGGACATTGATGAGGTAGAAGAAGGAGGCAATTAGGAAAGTGAAGGGCCTTGAGTCTATACCAGATGAGAATAAGTTTGAAGGAAATTTATCCTGAAGAAGAGAAAACCCAGAAGGGTCGTTCAGGTAGTCTTCAGAGTGGTTCGATTTGTCCTGTTTGGTCCCAGAAGGTAGAACTAGGAGTGGTTGGTGGAAGTTGCTAAGAAGCAAATTTAGGTTTGATATTAGGAAGGAAAAACTTCCTAGTGCTTAGAGCTGTACAAAAATAGGATAGACTTCTCCATTCTCTGAAAGAAGTGCATTCTGTCTCATCAGACATCATCCCACAGAGGCTAGATGATTTATTGTAGGGTATAATATAAAGGGAATTCCTTTTACATGTGGGTTGGACTAGATCAGGATTTCCTATCCAATTTCATGGAACCCCAGAAATCTGTCCCCATTCCCATCCTGTCCCCCTCCCCAGTAGGATATAACCTCCATGATGGTAGGCAATTAATTGACTTTTGTCTTTGTATTGCTATTGATAAACCACAGGACTCTGTACATAGTAGGTGTCTAATAAATACTTCTTGTCAAACTGAATCAACAAGTTCCAAGTTCCTGGGGCTCCTGCTTTTCTCGTGGGAATAGGGATAGATGTAGGTACACAGAGTTGGGTGTAGGGGACAGAGGCCCCCATTAGGGAAGTCGATTTTTTTGTTTGTTTGTTTGTTTTGTTTTCTGGTGTTTTTTTTTTAATTTTTTTTTGTTTGTTGCTTTTTAAATTTTTATTTTTTAAAAATTAATTAATTAATTAATTTATTTATTTGTTTTTAGTTTTCAACATTTACTTCCACAAGATTTTGAGTTCCAAATTTTCACCCCATCTCACCCCTCCCCCCCACCTCAAGATGGCATGCATTCTGAATACCCCTTCCCCTAGTCTGCTTTCCCTGCTATCTCAGCCCCCTTCTATTTTCCTGTAGGGCAGGATAGATTTCTGTACCCCATTTCCTGTATTTCTTATTACCTGGTTGCATGTGAAAACATTTTTTTTTAAAACGTGTTTTTTTAAACTTTGGGTTCCAAATTTTCTCCCTTCCTCCCTCCCCACCTACCCCCATTGAAAAGGCAAGCAACTCAATATAGGCTCTACTTGTGCAGTTATGCAAAACACTTCCATAGTAGACATGCTGTGAAAAACTAACTCTATTTCCTTTAATCCTATCCCGCCCCCCATTTATTCTGTTCTTTCTTTTGACCCTGTCCCTCCTCAGAAGTATTTGCTTCTGATTACCCCCTTTCCCAATCTGCCCTCCTCTCTATCATCCCCCTACTCTCTTGTCCCCTTCCCCTCCTATTTTCCTGTAGGGTAAGACAGATTTCCATACCCAATTGAGTGTGTATGTTATACCGTCCTTAAATTAAATCCTATGAGAATAAGATTCACTCATTTCCTCTCACCTTCCCTGGTTCCCCTCCACTGTAAGAACCTTTTCTTGTCTGTTTTTTTGTGAGATAATTTAACCCCGTTCTACCTTTCCCTTTCTTCTTCTCCTAGTATAATCCTCTCTCACCCTTTAATTTTATTCTCCAGATATGACCCCTTCATCTTCAACTCACCCTGTGCCCTCTATCTATCTATCTATCCATCTATCTATCTATCTATCTATCTATCTATCTATCTATCTATATATATATATATATATACACATACAGATGATTTTTTCCCTTCAACTACCCTAATACTGACAAAGGTCTCATGAGTTACAAATATCATCTTTCCATGCAGGAATGTAAACAGTTCACCCTTAATAAGTCTCTTATGATTTCTCTTTCCTGTTTACCTCTTCATGTTCCACTTGAGTCTTGTATTGGAAAATCACATTTTCTATTCAGCTCTGGTCTTTTCATCAGGAATGCTTGAAAGTCCTTTATTTCACTGAATGACCATTTTTTCCCCTGAAGAATTAAACTCAGTTTTGCTGGGTAGGTGATTCTTGGTTGTAACCCTATCTCCTTTGCCCTCCAGAATATTATATTCCATGCCCTGTGATCCCTTAATGTAGAAGCAGCTAAATCTTGTGTTATCCTGATTGTGTTTCCACAATACTTGAATTGTTTCTTTCTGGCTGCTTGTAATATTTTCTCCTAGACCTGGGAACTCTGGAATTTGGCTACAATATTCCTAGGAGTTTTCCTTTGGGGATCCCTTTCAGGAGGAGATCAGTGTATTCTTTCCATTTCTATTTTGTCCTCTGGTTCTAAAATATCAGGGCAGTTTTCCTTGATAATTTCTTGAAAGGTGATGTCTAGGCTCTTTTTTTGATCATGGCTTTCAGATAGTCCAATAATTTTTAAATTCTCTCTCCTGGATCTATGTTCCAGGTCAGTTGTTTTTCCAATGAAATATTTCACATTGTTTTCTAATTTTTCATTCTTTTGGATTTGTTTTACAGTGTCTTGATTTCTTATAAAGTCATTAGCTTCCAATTGCTCTATTCTAATTTTTAAGGAAGTATTTTCTTCAGTAATCTTTTGGACTTCCTTTTCCATTTGTCCAATTTTGCTCTTTAGGGCATTCTTTTCTTCATTGGCTTTTTGTACCTCTTTTGCCATTTGGGTTGGGCTATTTTTTAAGGTGTTATTTTCTTCACTATTTTTTTGGGTCTCCTTTAGCAAGCTGTTAACCTGCTTTTCATGATTTTCTTGCATCACTCTCATTTCTCTTCCTGGTTTTTCCTCTACTTCTCTTACTTCTCAGAATCCCTTTTGAGCTCTTCCAAGGCCTGGGACTGATTCATGTGTTTCTTGGAAGTTTTAGATGTAGGAGCTTTGACTTTGTTTTCTTCTTCTTGTTGTATGTTTTGATCTTCTTTGTCACCACAGTAAGATAATATAGTCTGACTTTTTTTGTGCTACTTGCTCATGATCCCAACCAGTTACTTGAGTTCTAAACTCTTTGTTAAGGTAAGAGTCTGTTTCCAGTGTGGAGAATGTGCTGTCCTAAGCTTTGGGGGTTTATACAGCTGTTTTCAGAGATACTTCTAGGGACCTGAAAAGTGTCAGTTCTTCCAAGGTGGTATGATGAGGGGCGAGGTTATTTCCTCTCCACTGCCACAACAAGCTCCACCACTCCAGCGCTCCTTCTCACCCCAGGACCGCCCCTCAGAACTGTGACCCAGATCCAAGCACTGGTAAAGCAAGAGATTCCTCCCTTAGCCCTGGCAAACAGATCCTTGCAATCCCCCTCTGATCAGCCACTCGATTTCCCCTCAGTCTGTGGGCTGGAAGCTCAGAAGTCAGCTGCTGCCCTCAGGGCGGCTGAGATCTAGCTTCTTCTCTCACCGCAGTCACAGACTTTTCCCACTGACCTTTTAAGTTGTCTTTGGCGTTCGTGAGTTGAGAAGTCTGGAAACTGCCACAGCTGCCCGAGATTCAGTCCTCTGAGGCCTGCTCCAGTGTCGCTGTGGCCTGCGTGCCCACGCCGAACTGTGTTCCTCTCCCAGCCCAGCGCAATATACCTTTCCTGTCAGTCATCCAAGTTGTCTTGGGCTGGAAATTTGTTTTACTCTGTTTTTTTGTGGGTTCTGCTGCTTTAGAATTTGTTTAGAGCCATTTTTTGTAGGTATTTGGAGGGGTTTAGGGGAGAGCTCTAGCAAGTCACTGCTTTCCTTCTGTCATCTTGGCTCCGTCTCCGGGAAGTCGATTTCTGTCTGTCTCTTAACGCTTTGTCTTTCCCCCAGGGTCTCAGCTGTTAATGTCTCCAAGCTACATTACAGCAGCACTCAGGCAGTATTTCTCTTTTCCTTCACTCTGGCTAACTGACCAGAGTGAATTAACTAACTAACTAACTCTTTTTCTGGTACTGTACTTCCTGGATATCTTTTATGCTACATATTGTGCATGTCATTGTTGGTAATCCAGTGTAGGCTACTTAAGTTTACTATACTTCTACGCATTTTGCTCTTAGAGGCAGTCAAAATTTTGATTCTTCAGAGATTGCGGTGTTCTGTGATCATAACGGCCCTATAGCATCTCTATGAAAATATTAGTGTTAAAAAAGATATGGAGTCCTAGAGCAGCGAGAGATCATAGCAATCACTGCATGCATGATTTACCAGTTGATATTTAGCCTACTCTCTTCCTGTTATTAAATTCTGGGACCACCTTATTTGTGCATTTGCAATATCTAGTATGGATTTTATTATACATACTCATGCATACCGAAAGGCATGGCTGCCCATCCAGCTTCATGTCATAGTCTAGACCATAGTCTAGACCAAATTCAAACAGCAAAACTCTCTCCTGTAGCCTGAACCAGATAAAAATGTAATTGGAAAATGTTTAACAAAGTAAATTAAAATACAACACAAATCATGTTAATTTATGGTTTTCTAAGTCATTTTGTCACTAGCAGGGATCCATTTTTAGTTGAGCTTGACCCTGATGTAGACAATAGGCATTCTTCATCCACTTGGTTCTTCCTATATGGATTGTTAGACTGATTTTTTTTTTGAGTGCTTATGAGTGTTATTAACATTAAAGAAGCCCTATAGTATTATGAGCCTTGATGCAACAAGCTTTAGAAACAGGAACATCTGGAAAATATCACCATTGATTGGGAGTTCCTCTTCAGATTGGTCTCTGTATGCAGCATCCTCTGTGACAATATCAAACAACCTTGATGAGCACAAATCTCCTTATTTTATGTCTCATTTGACATTGATCTCTTTGGTTTCTTCTATCTAAGAATTGTGTTTGATCTTTTAAAAAAAATTATTTATTTTTTTGTTACATTTTAAGTTCTGAACTGTCTCCCCCTCTCCTTCCCCACCCTGCACTAGAGAAAGCCACCATTTGACACAAATATATATATATGTATGCATGTATGTATGTATAGATATATGTAAAACCATACTATGCATAGTTCTATTTATCAGTTCTTTCTCTGGAGGTGGATACTATCTTCCTTCATAGGTCCTTTGTAGTTGATTTGAGTGCTTATAATTCTCAGAATAACTTAACAATTATTTGAACAATATTGCTATTACTGTATACAACATTTTCTTGATTCTGTGATTTTTTTTAAAAAATAAAGTTGTATTTTCTAACAGATCCCCCTTCTTGCCTGCTTGTTTCCCCTCCTCCAACCCCTACCTTATTGAAATTCCAAGAAAAACAAAACCTCTATTATAAACAGTAAAATCAAACAAAACCAATTCCCTCATTGGTCATGTAAAAAAAAAAATTGCTCATTCTGCACTCTTTAGTCCATCCCCTTTCAATCAGAGGGTGGGCAGCATGTTTCATCATGAGTCCTTTGGAATTATGTTTGGTCACTGTGTTGATCAGAGTTCCCAAGTCTTTCAAAGTTGTTTGTCTTAACAATATCATTGTTGTTGCATAAATTGTTCTCCTAGTTCTGCTCAACTCACTCTTCCTCATTTGTCTTCCTAAATTTCTTTGAAACCCTCCTTTCATCATTTCTTAGATCACAATGATATTCCCTCACATTCATACACTATAACTTACTCAGTCATTCCCCACCTCTGGTGGCTACCCCCTCTTGTGTGTGCCACCACAAAAAGGACTGCTATGAATATTTTCGAACTTATTAATCTTTTCCCTCTTTCTTTGATCTCTTTAGGGTATAGCCTTAGTAGTGGTATTACTGGTCAAAGCTATGCATAGTTTAATAACTTTTGGGCAATAGTTCTAAATTGCTTTGCACAATGCCTGAACCAATTGACAGCCCCACCAACAATGCATTAATGTACATTAGTGATACATTAATGTTCCTGTTTTCCCAGAGCCTCTCCAGCATTTGCCATTTTCCTTTTTTTTATCAGATATGCCCATCTGATGTGAGGTAGAACCTCAGAGTTCTTGCAATTTGCATTTCTCTAATTATTAATGACTTAGAGCATTTTTTAAAATATGGCTATTGATAACTTAGATTTTTTCCTCTGAAAACTGCCTGTTCATATCCTTTGAAACTTTATCAGTTGGGGGATGGCTCTTGGAACTCTGTATGATCTTAATATGTATTGAAGGCACCCTGTTTTACAAGAGGCTTTAAGGCTACTTTCTGCTGTACTGAGAAAAATGCTTTTGTATAATCAACAGACAGTGAGATCTTATATTTTTGCATTTTCTACTCATTTCAGTCATTTATGTTCCTTAATGTACTATTCCATAGAGAAGTAAGGCAGGGTAGAAAGAATGCTGAACTTGGAACCAGTGACCTGAGTTCAAGTTCCAGGTCTGCCATTTACTGTCTTTGTGACTTAAGTCAAGTCATTAACCTCCTTGTGCCTCAGTTTCCTATCTGTAAAATGAGGAAGTTGAACAGTGCCCTTCCAGCTCTAGCTATGATCTCTTCTCGTATTTTCATCAAAGATATACAGATCTTTTTCATATTTTTTTTTTTACAAAAGGTAAGAAAGTATCCATATTGGTCTCATTTATCTTTTCAGGTTCTTCTTCTTTTCCCTCATCTTTTCCTTTTATTCTTTTACTCAACTATGGTTCTTGTATTAGTTCCACTTTCATTTTTGAGGAGTCTGAATGTCTGTAATCTTAGTATTATTGTTTTCTTTTCCCCCGTAGTATTTATTCATCTTATTGGAAACTCTTGGTTATTCATTTTTTCATTTTCTATATTGGTTTTTCTCTGAGGTTTTCTTTTCCCTTCTATTTTTGTTGTTGCTGTACTGTTTTATTTGCACATTTATTGTTTTGAGGCAGTGGAAAGTATGCTGGACTTGGCCAAAACCACTCACTTGGCCATTATTCTGGACGTCTGATGCTTTTTTTTTTTTAGGTTAGTTGAGTGTATCTGGTATATCCATAATTGTCTCTTTAGACAATGTCCCTTGTACTTCCTTACTGGAATTCTTTGTGTTGGTGTTGGTATTTTATTCTTGTAGTTTCCTGCTCCTCCTGGGCTGCCTTCCATAGAAAATCTGAAGCCACAGCATCCATCTTGTCCTCTCTCTGAACTCTGAAACTTCTTCACCTTACATGTCCAACTTTCAGGATTTCGAAGTAGGAGGAGTCGCTTTCCCAAGGGTCTGATAATTTTTCTGCTTCAGCAGGCAGTTCCTCCTTTTTGGTGAGAATCAGGTCCAGAGTAGCTATTTTACCCATCACTTTCTACAGTTACCAAGGATGAAATTAGCAGCTCAACAAGTTCAGGATTCATCCATCAATCAATCAGTAAGTAGTTAAGTGATTGCTACTTGCCAGGTACTGTGATAGGCCTTGGTGACACTGAGACAAAAAGGAACTACTGCAGAAAGAAATCTTACTTGATTATAGTTTAGAATTCAGGTCAGTTAAAGGATTTATTACTTAATTTTTTACCAGCTGAAGCAGGGAATTGCATATAGAAAAGGAAGGCTCTGTGGAGCAAGTGGGCTTTTGGATAGGAGCTAGTATCCACAGTCATGCAGGGTTCACAACTGGTCATTCTCTGGTTTGCGGGGCAGTGTGTTATGTTTCAGGAAAGGGAATAGAAAATTACTAATCTGCTAGTCAGTGGTTGGCTTGGGGCATGGGGAGAGGGTCCGGGACAGAGTGTATTCATCTTTTGGTTATTGTTGCACTAGAGCTGGGTAAAAGAAGACAAAAGGTAAGCATTAGGCATGACTGTCCATTTACACTTGAAATGGAAGCTTATTCTAAAATGGAATTACTTGTGTCAAGAAAGGGAAAACACAGTGCCCTTCTTTCTGCCACCATGAGTTCCTGCCCTCAAGAATCTTACATTCTTTGTGTCAGTTGCTCTGCTTTTGGCATAAAAGTGAGTTTCAATGTATGTCCAGATATAAAATTTCCTATCACTGCTGCATTATCCCTCTCTGCTATGCCCTATCATAACCCCTATCATACCACTTTGCTAAGCTTGTGGTCTGTTCTCAAATTGGTCATCTGTTTCCTCCATTTGGCTGTTCAGTCTATGGTACTCACCAACCACAGTCTTTTTCTTGGGACTCCATGCATCAGTTCTTACAAATATTGCACAGCATACTTTCTGCTTTTTTTGGAATTCTACACAAGTGAATATCTTCCTAATGTTTTCCTACCCATTCTGTTCCTTTGAGACCTTTCCATTGCTGCATTCCAAGCACCAGTCACATCTCAGCAAGTCCCAGGAGGATTACATCTACTCTTCTTTCTCATTATTGTTTCCTGTGAATTCCTCAGCGTCTCCACTGATACTTTTCTTTAGCTCTGTTATACTTGATGCCTTCTGTGGGATCTAGTTTAGTTCTTCTACCTATACACTTACCTTCTTCTGCTAGCCTTACCCTTGGAGGGCTAAACTTTGACTCCTCATTCTGGGAAACAATTCGTCTCTGAGCTGGAGAATGGCTGGGGTGACTTTATAGGTCTTTAGGATCAAAGTTATTTACCCTGGCCCTCTACCAACAAAAGCCCTCCAATATTTTACCCCCTTCAGGCTCTGGAGCCCCAAAGAATGGTGATCTGCCCTCTGTTCTTCCCCAGAATGACCCAGGCCTCAGGAGGACCACCCTGGGCCCAGTGAAAGATGGGAATAATACAGAGCCAAGACTGAGTCGGAAACAATGGAGAAACCGTCAGAAAAACAAACGGAGACAGAAGAATAAGTTTCTACCTCCAAAGCCACAGAGTGTTGCAGCTCCTGAGGAGGAGAACCCCTCTGGGCTGACAGAGAAATGTGAGCCAGAGTTGGAAGCAGAGGAGCCAGGGGCATCTCTGGACCGGGGTGGGATGCTTCGGGCAAAGATGAAGCAGCGGCTTGAGGGAGCTCGTTTCCGCTTCCTCAATGAGCAGCTTTACTCTGTGACTAGCAGTGCTGCAAGCCACATCTTCCAGGAAGACCCTGAGGCCTTTGAGCTCTATCATCGTGGCTTCCAGAACCAAATAAAGCGATGGCCCTTGAAGCCTGTGGACCGAATCGTGAAAGACTTGAAACAGCGGTGAGCAAGGGAGAGACCCCTTATGAGGCAAAGGAGGATGGCACAGATGGTGAGGGAATGTTTGAGAGGTGACAGGGAACTTATGACAGGTGAAGAGGTGCCAAGGAGAGAGGGTATGACAGTTGGGGGCATGGGAAGTAACTGGTGTGTTGTGGGATGTAAGGGGGATGTTGTAAAAGTAAAGATTGGGCCTATAATATGGCTAAATTACAGGAGATTAGGAGCACTTAAGCCTCAGTCAACTAGGACTGATACTCAGATAGGCCTCTGACTGTCTTCCTTGTCATTGTAGGCCAGCATCCCTGGTTGTGGCAGATTTTGGTTGTGGAGACTGTCACCTTGCCTCTAGTGTCAAGAACACTGTACACTGCTTTGACCTGGCTGCACTTGACCCCCGTGTCACAGTCTGTGACATGGCCCAGGTAAGGTCCCAGTTCTCTGTGAATCTTTGCTTCACCATCCAAATTCTCAGCTTCTAATAGAAGGTATCTCCTGTCTCTGAAAACCTTTACATTCTCATAAATGTCTTCAACCTTCTATAAAGTGTCACTTTCCTGTGTCAGCCTTCAGTGCCTCCTGTAAACCTTCACTTCTTCATCTCAGACCTGCCCTCCCACAGAAAAGTCATATAAGCCTTTATTTAGCTCAAGAATATCTGATCTTTCCTACTTAATCCCTCATTTCACCCAAGAAGGCCTTACCTGCCCCTGGAAATCATCAGTTCCCTCCTTAAGCCTCCATGTTTCCCTGGAAACCTTTACTTCCATATATAAGAACGCATCTCTTGGGAGCCCACATTTCTTTTCTGGAGGGATTCATGTTACTGCTTGAGGTAATAGGACCTAGGTTTCATAATTTCCCTTCCCTCCTCTCCCCCCAGGTGCCCCTCAAGGATGAGTCTGTGGACGTGGCTGTTTTCTGCCTTTCATTGATGGGAACAAACCTGAGTGACTTCCTGAAGGAGGCAAACCGAGTACTGAAACCAGGGTATGGGGACCTCTGGGAGCTGGGGGGTCTTTGTGCAGAATCTGTCTCCCTCATTATGTCTGCTTGGCTCTGTCATTCACAGTATTCCATCCCACCTAGCCTCTCAGACTCTCACAGGCCCTCCAGTCACACACCATCATAGCATCTAATTCTACCTGTACCTGAGGAGGCATCTCCTCTTTATTTTTCCTTACAGAGCATCATTCAACTTCCTCTTGAATGCATCTGTAAGGCAGCCCTTTCCATGTTTAGAAAACTCTTCATTCCATGAAGGAAGTCTAATCCTTGGCTATTCAGCTTCTCCTTGTTGCTTTTAGGATGTACTTGGGGCCAAGCAGAGCAAAGCTGATCTCTCTTCCCTATGACAGTCCTGCAGCCATTTGAAGATAAGGATCACGTTCTTCTCCAAGCTAAACATTTCTGATTCCTTCTGCTGATCCATATATGACATTATTTCTAGTCCCCTCACCATCCTGGTCTCTCGGATCGTCTGGACATACATCAGCTTGTCAGTGTCCTTCCTAAATTGTATTACTAAGAAATGAACACAGTATTAAGGTTGTGATCTGATTAGGGCCCATTTGGACGTTACCGTAGTAACATAGATTTAAAGTCAAGAAGGATTGTAGAGATGATCAAATTCAACCTCCCCTCTCCCTCTCCTAAGTGAGCAGAGCCAAACTCTAGCATAGAGTCCAAAGTCAAGAAGTAGTCTGGAAAAAGGAGCAAACAGCAACAACAACAAAAAAGAATTCCTATGGTAACTGGGAAGTTTAAGACACAAACTCAGGGGCAGCTAGGTGGCACAGTGAATAGAGCTCTGGCCTTGGAGTCAGGCGGACTTGAGTTCAAATCCGGCCTCAAACACTTGACACTTAACTAGCTGTGTGACCCTGGGCAAGTCACTTAACCCCAGTTGCCTCCCCAAAAAGCAAAAAAAAAAAACACAAAAAAAAACAAAGTTAAAGACAATGATTTGAAAAACAAGATACAAGCAAAGTGTCAAAGAAAAATGCAGGTTGGACGCAAGCCCAATAATAATTCCTAGAAAAGCTAAAGAGATTTTTTAAAAAGTTTTTTATTTTTTCCAATAACATGTAAAGACAATTTTTAACATTTTTCACAAAATTTTGAGTTCCAAATTTTTTCTCTTCTTCCCTCCCCCCTCCCTAAGATGGTAAGCAATTTAATATAGGCTATATATATGCAATCATGTAAAACATAAGAAAAAGATTTTTAAAATCAAATAAGCAGGAGGGGAAAAATTGGGAAAAGAAATGAGAATAATGCAAGAAAATTATGAAAAGAGAATTAACCACTTGGTAAAAGGGACAAAAAATACTCAAGAAAATAACTCCTTAAAAATCAGAATTGGCCAAATGACAAAAGAGGTACAAAACCTCGCTGAAGAAAATAACTCCTTAAAAATTAGAATTGGTTGAGTTGAAGCTAATGATTCCATGAGACATCAAGAAACAATAAAACAAAGTCAAAAGAGTGAAAAAAAATAGAAGAAAATGTGAAATATCGCATAGGAATCTACCCTTGCTTGTAACTTGCATCTTTGCATGTGCTTTTAAAACTTACATTGGTTGATGAACTATGCATCCACATTGGCCTTGGGAGGCAGTTTCCCATTTTCTTTATCATGGGAATCATTTGTGTTTGTGTTTTCAGAATCCTATTCTTCAGTATCTCCTGATGCTCTTGGGTCAACTTTCCTTGTAGAGTCTCCAGGTCACCAGATCCAGTCTATCCTTCAGTTTAATTTTCACCGAACTATGGCTTGGAAATCTATTCTCCCATTTCTAGGGTCTAATTTAGAGTGGTCACTTCTCTTTAAGGTTCCTATCAATAATAGTCAATAATCAATAAACATTTATTAAGTGCCTGCTATGTGCCAGGCATTATGCTCAGCTCTAAGGACAAATTCAAAAAAGAAAGATAATCCTTGCTCTTAGGGAGCTTACAGTCTAATAGGGAAAGATAATACCTAAAAGAAAACTGAAAATCTGGGAGGGGAAAAGGTACCTACCTTGGGGATGTGGTAGAGAAGCCAAAGAAGACCAGAATGAGTGCAGCGGCATGGGAGTTGGGATATCTGAGGAGAGGAGATAATTTTTACTTTAGCAACCCATTCTTTCTTGTTGGTGAGAGTTGGGTCCAGAATGGCAATTCCCCTAGTTGTTTCCTTTATAGGATAAAAGTGTTTGAGGAGATTGGAGAAGACTAAGTTCCCTTCCAGCTCTAAATTTATGATACTTAAGGTAAATCAGTTTTTCAACCTGTTTTTTGGCAGAGAAAAAGCTCTAGCAGATATTTAGATAGTTGAAATCCCCTATCATTACTATATCATATCTCTGTGCCAGGCCTGTAATCTCTTTGCCCAAGTACCTTGATGACAATATTGCTTCTGTTTCTTCCTTTATTACTCTTCATGCAGATGCTTTCCACCATGCTTCCCTGATCTAGTTTCTTGATTTGCTTATGTGAGTGCATCTTAATATATACACTGATAACACACACACACACACACACACACACACACACACACGCTCTCAGTCACTCACACACTCTCATTCTCTCTCGTCTACTTCATTCATTTGAATATGTTACCCTGTCTTGTACTTCTCTGCCCTATCTAACTCTGTCATGATTTACTCCTCCTTTCATCTCCTTTCTTTCCCTACAGAGGCATGTTGAAAGTGGCCGAGGTAGCCAGCCGATTTGTGGATATGAGGGGTTTCTTGGGAGCCTTAGCCCAGTTGGGCTTCAAGCTTGTTTCCAAGGTAACAAGGATGCCCTCTTTCTCCAGCTCTCCACCCCCACTCCCCTACCCCCACATACAAACTCATGCAGACGTGCTGGGGAAGTACTGCCACAGAATATGGGCCATGTCTGTGTCCATCCTGACCCTATGTCCCATGGGCTAGACAGTAAGAATTTTTGGTGGGGAAAGTTTATGAAGGGATAATATTCACTGACTCAATTGCCCAACCACGTTGTAGAAATTTGACAAGATATTGGCCCCTGAGGGGTAGCTAAGGAAGGAGAGTCAGCCCCTCATGGCAATGATTGATTGATGGTGACCCTTTCCTACCCTGTCCCCCTCCATCTCACCCTATCAGTAGGGGGATGTGAAGAGGGCCACGGAAGAAGTTAATACCTACTTCTCTAGCTATGGTCCATCTCTTCTCCTTCCAGGATCTGACCAACAGCTACTTCTACCTGTTAAATTTCCACAAGATAGGACCTCCCAAGGCTCAGGGTCCCCTTCGAGGCCTGACTTTGAGGCCATGTCTGTACAAGCGCCGATGACCCCGTAAAGCTCCTTTCTGCCTCCACCTTGCCTGAGGCATCAGGATTGAGCTACCGCTACAGCCCAACCATGAGGCTTGACAGAATAGGAGCTTGTGCACAGGAGCACTGTGATAAAACATGGACCAGGGCAGCAGGTGAGGACTCAGTTCGAAGACTGAGCTGACTTGTACAGATGGACACTGGCAACAGGTTGGGGAGTTTTCAGAGGTAATCCCTTGATGTGGATTCAAACCCTGACTGGATCCCTGGCAACTCAAGACTGATTAACTTCATCTCCTTGGGCCTCTCTCTCCTCATGAATGGCTCTAAACTGTAAGAATTGGGGAGGGGGAGGTGCATTCCAACCCTTGTCCAGCTTTCCATATCTCATTGAAGAAATAAAGCTGTGGTGGAGTTTGACTCCCTGACCCTTTTTGTAGCCACTGACCTACCCCCTTTCCTGACTTGCTGTGTGATCCATGGTTTCAGCAAGTTTCAAATCTCTCTAGAATGAATTAGAGAAAGGAATAGACCTAGATACAACTGCCTGTGTGAGATAAGAAGCCACTTTGTGGGCTTAGCAGGTAGGAAGGACAGATAGGCCTATAAGTGTCAGTGTCCCTGACCAGGAATAACTCACTATAGCTGACCTAGAACCTGGAGAACAACTCTCAGCTGGCACTAGGTCCAGTCAGAGGTATGCTGACTGTCACATATCAAAGGATATTGTATTAATAGGAGAGGCAGTACCAAGAACATTGTAGATGCTTTAAAAAAAAATTGATTCCTTTTGCCTTTACATCAGTCATTTCTGAATATATCCAACTCCCTAACTTCTCTTCATAGCAGAAGGAAGAAAATTGAGCAAAACCCACTAGTGCTTCAGACCATCTGCCAGCATTTCCATCCTTGTACTCCCTTTCCATCAAAAGGAAAGGGTCACGACTCCTCATCTCATTGTTTTCATATAAGAAATAATAGCGATTACATTCATGTACCACATTTTTTGTTGTTGTTCCATCGTTTTTCAGTCATGTCTGAATCTTTGTGAGCCTATCTGGTATTTTCTTGGCAGAGATATTGGAATGATTTGCCATTTCCTTCTCTAGCTTTTTTTATAGATGAGGAAACCAAAGCAAACAGGGCACACAGCTAGCAAGTGTCTGAGGCCAGATTTGAACTCAAGAAGAGGTCTTCCTGACTCCAGGCCCAGCACTCTATCCACTGTGCCAGCTGACTGCCCAATTAGAGGCAATTAGTCTAGCCTCAGACACTAGCTGTGTGACCCTGCACAAGTCACTTAATCCTGTTTGCCTCAGTTTCCTTGTTTGTAAAATGAGCTGGAGAAGGAAATAGCAAACCACTCTAGTATCTCTGCCAAGAAAACTCCAAATGGAGTCACAAAGAGTCAGATACAACTTAACAACAAGTACATGTTTTTAACTATTACCTAATATGTGGATACAGGTAGCTAGGAGGTACAATGGATAGAGTACCAGGCCTGGAGTTAGGAAGACCTGAGTTCAAATCTGGCCTCAGATACTTCCTAGCTGTGTGACCCTGGGCAAGTCAGTTAACCCTGTTTGCCTCAGTTTTCTCATCCATAAAATGAGCTAGAGAAGGAAATGGCAAAACACTCCAATATCTTTGCCAAGAAAATTCCAGAAAGGGTTTATGAAGAGTCAATCATGACTGAAATGACTAAACATCTATAATCAGTGGGTATACACTTTGGTTTCAGCATTTTGCTATCACAGTACTGTTATGAATGTTTTGGCATGTGCAAATCCTTTCTGTCTTTGACTTCCTTGAGATATATTTCTAGCAGTGGGATCTTTGGGTCAAAGGTATGAGCAGTTGTGTTAGTTTGGGGGCATACTTCAGCATTATTTTCTAGAATGGCTGAACCTGGTCATAACTACGCTATCAGTAGTGTGCCTGCCTTTCTTCAGCCTCTCCAGTATTGACTTTCCATCATTTGTTACTATTGCCAATTTACTGGGTATGAGGTGAAACCTCAGGGCAGTTTTAATTTGCATTTCTCTCATTAGTAATGGTTTGGAGCATTCTTTCATGTTGTTGTTAACGGTCTGCATAGTCTCTCTACTCAGCATAGAAGGAGTGGGTAAAGACATGACTATGGGCTTCCTGTCTCTGCTGATATGATGTTCAGCCCAGTGGTTTTAAAGGACGCTGTCAAAGAAAGGACTGCCACTTATGGCTTTGCTGCTGCCCTGGGGCATCTTCACAAGGTCATGCCAAGGGCAGGCATTAGCACTCATCTGTGCCTTCCACGTACTAAAGATCAGTTTCTTGAATACTTCAGTCTGATTTGGGCCTTACTGTCAGTAAGTTCAGTTCATTATCCACAGAGATTATGATGACCCAGTCAACTAAGAATGCATTTGGAGTTTATAGCGGTATGAGGAGTTCATTGAGGAATGTTGGGGGTAGAGGAAAAGGGGCAGAGAGAAATGGATACCATGAAAGGAATGACAATGATAGATGTGGTGACCTTGGGGGAGAAGGAAGGAAAGTGATATAGCTGTGCTGATCACCCTCCTTTTAGTGCATTTTCCTCCTGTTTTCCTTGGTGAGCTCCTTGGCCCTTGGTTGGTTGTGGACAGCAACTCAGTGGCTTGTCTCTTAATTCCCATGCCTGCTCTGAGGGATGACTAGGGACAGGGATTCCAGCTTATAGGCTCCCCTAGGGTATAGGAAAGGCATTGCTAGCCTGGAGAAGGCTTCTAACAAATCTGCTACCAATTGCTGTAGCCATGGAACATTAGAAATTACAAAAGCACAAATCATAAACTGAGCCATCCTGCAACAGCAAGGTGTAAAGCAGCTATGGTATAGGCAATGGAATAAAACTGGGACTCTTAGCCTACCACAGATTAGCCTTCAGTCAGTGAATACCTGCTATGTACCAGGCACTGTGCTAAGTGATGGCAATACAAAAAAAGGCAAAAGATAATCCCTTCCCTTAGGGAGTTCACAATCAAATATGTACAAACAAGCTATGTACAGGGTAAATAAAAAATATTTAACAGAGGGAAGGTACTAGAATTAAGAGGGGCTGGGAAAGGCTTTCTGTAGAAGATAGAATTTTAGTTGAGACTTAAAGGAAGCCAGGGAAACCATTAGGCAGAAATGATAGAGGGCATTCTAGGCATGGGGAGGGGAGGGAAAGAAGGGGGCAGCCAGAAAAAATGCTCAAAGTCAAGAGATGGAGTATCTTGTTCATGGAACAAAGTCCAGTGTCACTTAACTGAAGAATACATGTTGAGGGGCAGCTAGGTGGCGCAGTGGATAGAGGCCTTGGAGTCAAGAGGACCTGAGTTCAAATCCAGCCTCAGACACTTGACACTTACTAGCTGTGTGACCCTGGGCAAGTCATTTAACCTCAGTTGCCTCACCAAAAAAAAAAAAAAAAGGACATGTTGAGAAGTAAGGTATAAGAAGACTGTAAAGGTAGAATAGGGCTAGATTATGAAGAGCTTTAAATACCAAACAGAGGATTTTGTATTTGATCTGGAGACAAAAGGGAGCTACTGAAGTTTATTGAACTGGGGAGTGACATGGTCATATCTGTGCTTTAGGAAAATCACTTTAGTGGCTAAAAGGGAGGATGGAGTGGAGTGGGGAGGTAGGTCCTCCAACAGACTATTGTAATAGTCCAGGCATGAGGCTTTTATAATAGTCCAAGTGTGAGTTGAGAGCCTGTACCAGGCAATGTCAAAGGACAGAAGGAGGAATGTTTGAAAGATGTTACAAGGTGATTTGACAGGCTTTGAAAACAGCCTGGATATGGGGGAAGAGGAAGAGTGAAAGGTAGTGAGGAATTGCGGATGACTTCTAGGTTGTGAGCCTAAGGGACTGGGAGGATGATGTTGCCCTCTACAGTGACAGGAAGGTAGGAGAAGGGGAGTACTGAGGGAAAATGATTTCCTTTTTCAACATGTTGAGTTTAAGATGTCTGATGGACATCCACTTGGAGGTGTCTGGAAGATGGTTGGAGATACAAGATTAGAAATCAACAGAGTTTAGGGCAGGATAGGTAAACTAGAGGGAGAAGAGAAGATGACCCAGGTCAGAACCCTGAAGACTATCTGTGGATAGAGGACATGATCTGGAAGAGGTTCCAGCAAAGGAGACAGGAGTGGTCAGATAGGAGAACCAGGAGAGAATGGTGTCCCAAAAATCTAGAAAGAAGAGAGAGTGAGCAACAGTGTCAGAGGTTGCAGAGAGGTCAAGGAGAATGAGGATTAAGAAAAGGCCACTGGATTTGGCCATTATGAGATCATTGGTAACTTTGGAAAGCAGTTTTGGTGGAATGATGAGAGGTCTGAACCCCTACCAGATTGTAGGGGACTGAGAATGAGCAGAGCAAGTGGAGGCATCTATTTGTAGATGCAGGATGGCCTTTTCAAGGAGTTTAGTTACAAAGGACATGAGAGATAGGAAATACTTATCTGGGATCAAGTGAGGGTTTTTTGAGGATAGGGGAAACATGGTCATTTGTAGACAGTGAGAAGGAAGAGAGTAATAGAGATTGGGAGAGATTGAAAAGTAAATTATAGAGTGGGGATAACAGAGGGGGCATTTTGTTGAAGGAGACAGACTTGAGCAGGTAGAGGAGTTAGCCTTGGTAAGGAGTAAGGCAACCTTATGTGAGAAGGGTGGAAGAGATAAAGGCAGAAAGCATATGAGTGATATAAGATAGGAAAGACTGGAGAAGAGAGAGCTCACGGCATATAACCTCTATTTTTTCTTGCAAGGTTCTCCACTGAGAGGATGAGGGGAGAGACAGCCATAGAGGTCTGAGGAGGGATGAAAAGGTTTGGAAGAGGTGGGAGTGAGCTGATAAAAGGAAGTATAGGAGGATTGCCTAACAGCAGTGAGGACCTAGTTGAGGTTGTGTAACAAATTTGAAGTGTACCTAACCAGAATGGTTGGGTGATTTTCTCCACCTTCATTCAGCAGCACAGGTGTGGGGTCAAAGGCTGCAGAAGTTCGGAGTCATCCAAGGCCAAGAGTTGTCAGGGCATAATCAGTGAAATGCTAAGGAGGCTGGGGACTCAAAAAGAGGATAGTGTAGAGTTGAACTGATTCACCAAGGGAGTGTTGGGTATGACTGGCTGTAACACTGTTCATCGTTGAGTGGAAGGTGCCACTCCTCTTCGCAAAGAAGTCTGAGACAAGTGTAGCATGAGAGGGAAGGCACATAATCAGATGGTCAGATGGGAGGCCTCATTTCACTACTCTTCTTCCTTTAAAAGCTGGACATTACGCAGGAAACAGTACAGCAGATGAAAAATCAAACCTGCACAGCAGGAGAAAGCAGTCTCACTACCTATCAGCTTTCTTTTTCCTCTTCCTTCAAGCGACAGGCACAGCTGGAAATGGAAGGCCTGAGG